GAAATCTGAATACCCTTGGATCAATCCAATCCGAGCTCTCTAGACCCTCAGAGGTAAACAAAAAACTGAGAAATGGAAGTGGAGGGATCATCGAAGAAGATGATAGCGACGCAGGAGGAGATGGTGGAGGCGAGGGTGCCCATTCCCTACAGAGACCAGTGCGCGCACCTGCTGATCCCGCTCAACAAATGCAGACAGGCGGAGTTCTACCTGCCATGGAAATGCGAAGTCGAGCGCCACGCCTACGAGAAGTGCGAGTACGAGCTTGTAATGGAGAGAATGCTCAAAATGCAGAAGATCCGGGAGGAGGAGGCCAAGTTGAAACAGGCCCAGAAGCAAGGCGGCGCAATTCCTCTTATACCTAAACCCGCCCATGCTTGATCACTTGCACAGATCTTCCTGCTTCTATGGTGAGTTAATGGACTCTTTTTTTTTTTTTTTGATTGATGTGCTTGTATCTGATTTACTGATTGTTATTTTTGTGGGTATTCTCGGTGTGTTCGTTATGTTTGACTAGATTGTGGTTTTGATGCCCGAGCATTTTGAGGTTTCATCAAATTGGATTTTTCTTTGCAATTTGTCCAACTAATTAAATTGTTGGTGGAATTTTGGTCCATTGTTGATGGGGGTTGCTTGTGAAGCTCTTTGATTCCGTTTATGTATTTGCTGCTGAAAATTAACATAATTTGTTCTCTTTATTTTCTGGCGTTTGGGGATCAAGAATCTGATGTTTAGTAATTGAAGGATATCTTAACAATCTAGCAGCTGTGGTGTTGATAACTTTAAGGCTCTCTTTGAAAATTTCTTGCGTTTTTCATTTTACTTATTATTAGGAAGTTCTTTTGATGAACTGAATTCTTGTTCTAGGATCTTTAAATTACGGGTTTGGCAACTGTGCTTAATCTTTGGTATGTTTTTGAAGGTTATTGGGAATATTTCAGTTTGGTTCTATGATCTTGGCAATAGGATACTTAATTCAGTCTTTTAAACTGCTGGGGTGTGAGTTTAGGGTAGGTTATGCACAATATGGCATGTAGTTATTGAGAATTTTATTATTAGGTCAATGCACATTCTATGAACCTAGCCATATCATATCCATATCCATGCTTCATGTGAATCTACTTTATGCTAAAGCAATGCATGCAGTCTTCATGTCATGTACAATAGTCACTCAAAAGTGTTAGCTCAAAGAGTTTGCCTTTTCCTTAAGCAGGGTAAGTAATCTTAATGTATAGAGTAACATTATCTAGATGTTTAAATCCTTACTCAAAATCTCTCTACCTTTTTGTTGGGAGATTGTCTTGGGTTCCCATTAAGTTTTGATTAATATTACTCCTTCATTTCATTGCATTTCTCTTCTCCTTCTTCTTAATAGATTCCCTACTCTACTTTTTCTTGCTTTCCATTAGTGGGTTTGCAGACGGGTATACATGATATGGGGATTGTTTGTTATGCAGCTCCTTTGTTGGAATTTTTACTTTTCAGAGTCTTCATAGTTTTACCATAAACTGTTTAGTGTCCACAGGCCACCACAAATGATTATTAAAAGCATTTTTCTAACATGTGCCCTAGGTTAAGGGTGTAATTATTGTACCTTTTTTATATTAATTAGTATTGAAAAAATGAAAGTTGACCTTAATTTAAGCAATTGCCAATTAAAATGATCCATGTAGCACTGGTGGTGAAATTAATGACAACTTTTGTATTTTTCAATACTAATTAGTGCTAAAATGGTGCAATAAATGCACCTTTAACTTGTGCTCTATGCCTTAAGAGCATAGGTTTAAAAACCCATTTTAAAATGATGTCTAATCAATTAAAAGAACTTTACATTAAAAAGGTTTGGAGTAGTCATTTTTTGGTTCTTTTACAAGAATTATGGAAAATGTCTTCAAAATAAGAAACTTTTCTACATGTAAATGTACTTATTCAAACTTTCGGAGTTAAAAAATTATTATGTGTCGCAGTTATGATGGCATCCTTCTTAGAAGCTCTTGTTAAATATCAAACACTGTTTAGCCTCATTTCCTCAACTCTTCTCTTCTTTACTGTAATACTAACTACACTTTTACTTAAATTTATTTCCACTGTGCATATTAAGATGCTGACATGTTGCATAAATTTGTTATTTTTAACTTTTAATAGTGTCCAAAATGCAGAATGCTGTTTTCCTACTCTTTTATATTAAACATTTAAGTATTAAAATTTTTAAGAGTAGGTTCAACATTCTAAGAACTCAAGTCCATGACTGTTTACATTTGGTACTCCTTTTTGATAGCAGTTATTTTCTACAACTAGCACTTTTGAGACCATTAGCACCACTTTTCCCTTCCTATCTCCAATTCTATGAACTTTAGTCTCTGATGAGATATTTTCCATGTTTTCAACTTTGCTATTCTTCCCTATATACAATCATGTTAGGCCATGTCCAGATGCTTTCTGTGACCTAGAAGCAGTAATTGCATATGGGAATGCCTGTAAACTTCAACACGTAACAAAAGATTCTTAGAAAAAGCTGTGAAGTTCTAAGATTTTCATTTTCATTTTGTTCTTGTTCTCCAGACTGCTTAAGAATTGCGAAGTTTCATGATTGAATCTCGTTAAAAAGGAGTGTTTTGCACATATCGAGTCTCCTACATAGACTGTACTCAATAGGCTTCATTGATCCAAAATATGGTAGGTTTTCTACACTAATCACCAATTATAATGCTGTCCAGGAACCATCCATTGGAAATTTAAATTATCATACCTTAATTCTTCTAGTTTCTCATCCCTTTTCCTCTACATTGCATCTCCTTTTTTTGTATATTTTCCCATCCCTTTCTATCCATTGCTCAGTCTTATGCTATCCCTGTCCTTAACGACATGGGATTCATATATAAAAGGGATTTGATGGACTCTCTGTTATCTTATTGCTTGCCTATTGGAAATGTTCATTCTAATCTATTTTAAAACCCACTGTACTACAATCACACGTCTTTGGCTCCTCCAGTTTAGTCTTCTCTAAAGATGGAGAGGGTAATATGACAAAGTAAACAGTTTATTGTAGAAATTTTAGTGCATCATCTCATCAGAAAAACTTATAACATCTGTAGTTTATGGTTCTGTAATGTTTGTGATTATAGGATAAGGACCTACAGTGTGGTGTAGGACTTGCATTCCTTATTTTAATCAAAACTTTAGATAATCTATTATAAATTATAATTATTCTCGAAGTGTTTTCCAATCTGCTTGTAGAATAGCACCCAATTTACCTGCATCAAATATGTTTACACTTTAAATCTTAAATGGTTGTCTACTTGTCCTGAAGTAGCTCTGATTTTAGATTTGTCTTATTATGTTATTACAATAAAGGACTGCATCAACTCATCTTTTCCTGAGTAAAGCGTTTCTTAATTCAGTTGGAAGAATAGCTTTTCAGCAAACACTGAAATATGAACCTATAATTGACTGGTAGGAAATGTGGAACAGAATATTGTGCTGTTATGGTGCATTAATTTGCAGAGAGACCATTTTAACACAACCCTTCACTTTAACCCAGCTTGAAAAGCCTGTTTCCATGCCTATGTGATGCTGAAATTTTATAAAAACTGTCTATTTCTTTTTTTCTTTTTTTATTATATCTTTAGTTCTGTCCCTCCCCATCGATTAAACTCAGATTCAAAATGGAGTTCCAAACGATGTGGTTCTTCATTTGGATTATAATTTTTAAAAGATTTTTGGTACAATCCTATTTCTTTGAGTGCTGCCACTGCAGAAGGTGTTTTGACTAAGATATCTGGAAATTAGCCCTTTTTTCCTTTTATCAAATAGCGTTTTGTTATTTAAAACGAGTATATACCCATTACACTAAGGTCTAAAATATTTGGTTTAAGATTAGTTGTATGTTTGGGCGTTTCGGTTTGCAGATGGAAGGTTCTATTCTTCTCAGTAGTTTTTTTAGTTCAGTCCCTCCCCATTCATTAAACTCAGATTCAAAGAGTAGTTCCAAACGATGTGGTGATTCTTTTCTTCATTTGGATTATAATTTTTAAAAGATTATTTGTCCAATCCTATTTTTTTTTAGTGTTGCCCTGTAGAAGGTTTTTTGACTAAGATTTCTGGAAATTAGCCCTTTTTTCCTTTGATCAAATAGCGTTTTGTTATTTAAAACGAGTATATATCCATTACACTAAGGTCTAAAATATTTGGTTTAAGATTAGTTGTATGTTTGGGCCTTTTGGTTTGCAGATGGAAGGTTCTATTCTTCTCAGTAGTTTTTTTAGTTCATTAATTGATAAATTGATAAATTGTCTTGGAAATTGTTTATAAATTTTATTTTGAGAGGTATTCATCTCAGCTTCTTAGAATGATTGGCATTTGACTAATTTTTTGCATCATGTTTATCTACTTCTACTACATAATTGCTGGGATCTCTTCACCTTGTGTAGTACTTACACTACATGCACTTCAAGTTTTCAGGATTTTCAATCCTGGATTGTTGAGTATGTGATTCAGTTTGCCAAAATTGAGTTGACAAGCTCCAATGAGATGTAGACCTACTAAAAGAAGATTTTAGATGGATGTTTGGTAGTCCATTTATTTTTCTTTTGAATCTATAAGACAGATATTCATAGAGATAGAAGGGCAAAGGACACATAAAACAAAAATGATTCCAAAGACCCACAATACATGTCATAGAAATAGAAGAGAGAAGCTCAGAAATTAAAGAGTATAGGAAATGTCAATGATATAGTTACAATGCCATGTAGACTGTAAGCTTACAATCATGACTTGTCATTAAATGAGTGGATATCACAAGTGGACTCCTAAGTGAAAAGAACCAATTATATAATGATACATCATGATTGTAAGCTTACAATGCTACATGGCATTGTACTTGTATCATTTTTGTATAGGAAAAGGAAAACAAGGGTTTGTAGTCATTTGTAAAGTAAGTGGAGAGTTTTAGGAACCCATTATAACAAAATGGAGAGGGAAAGTTCCGAATCTTTAACTTAAATGATTTGAAAAGGAATACTAGAAACTTTGGTTGTTGGCAAACCAAGATCTAAACTTGGGGTCTTTGAATTTGATTTTTTGTATTCCCTGTAAAATGAAAATATCTTACTAGACGTAAAAGATAGAGCATTACAGTTGTGAGATGGAGATTAAAGAATAGAAACAGGTATACAAGGTTGATTGTCCCATTTTGATTGGCTTTGACTTGAATTTATGTGTCTAAATTTGAAAGTTGTAGTTAGAGTGTCACTTATTATGGTATTGCTTATCATTAAGTTTTGATAAAATCAAAATAAAATTTCAGATTTCATTTGTATCAGAGTTTATTTACAATTTATTTCTAAGATAGTGGACCAACTAAAATTTAAAAGCATGCCATGAACTGATGGCGAGCCAACCAAACCTAGCTTCCTTGTCTACAAAATTAGCTATAGGGGGCAAACCTATTCCCCTCCCTTGAACCAATATGTACTTTTTTTTTTATGAATAAAAATTTTTATTGATTGGAGTACAGGGGTACTCCCACCCTGTTACATAACAAGGGTTCTATTCTAATTCCAGACAACAGAATAAAACTTTAGTATTACATTTGTTTTGGTAGCTACCTTGAAGCAATGTGTACTGCATTCCTGGCAACTGTGTTTCTGAAGTGTGTATGTTGAACTGGCATATTAGGGTTGGAAAGATAAAGGAAAATTAAATAACTGTATGCTGATGGGCTTTAAATAACTGTATGCTGATGGGCTTACTTTTCTGTTTGCTTGTGGAAGTTAGTTCATTGGGGGTTAGATAGAGATCATAGACTCTTGCAAGTAAATTTGAGCTTATCCTTATGGATCCTAACTTTATGGTGGAGCTTTGGCTGGTTGAAACTCAAAGTCATGCCCTTGGGACTATGGACTAGCTTTGTAGAGCAAAGTTGTTAGGGTAAATCAAGAAAAATATGAAAAGAATAAGACCCAAATTTTGGTCAGAAATACAGCTTTGCATTAAAGGTTTCAAAAGTCCCATCCTCAAAATAGCGATGCCAAGGAGTTAAAATTAGATTTTTCAGTGGTTAGTTATAAATGCTTATTATATTAACTTGCAGTTGTGCCATTTTCACCTAATTACAATATTTCAGCTTTTAGTATTGAAAAGTCAACGAGTGATCTCAAATTATTAAATGTGTTGCTCTTAAGCACGTTTGGTGACTCATATATGTTATGGTTGTTGGTTTTAGTTTTGGCATGGTATTTTCTTTGGTATTAACAATTTGGATTTGGATTTGTTGCAGGAAGCTTTGTTAAACCAGTCGGGCAGAAGCTTTGCTGTCTATGGATGGAAGTAATGGGAACCATTTTGAACTGTTTGTGGACAATTGTAACGAATCATTATTATCTTTTCTTGTTTTTTATGACTGCCAACTTTGTTTGCAGAATAAAATGGCTAAGCAAAGTTTGACATGATCATTCACATGTAGAAGTGGTATCTGAACTACATAATGACTGATGGCCATAACAAAAATTGATAATTGTCTATGAGTTGTTTTTGTTGGATAAAATTAGTTGTGTAGCATATGATCATTTTTTTCTTCTGTTTTGGATAGGCTACTAAAATGGAGGTAGAATCTCCCTCTGCATTTCCTACCATGTTCTTGAGGCTTTTTGCCTTTTTGGCTGGGAGGTTATCACAAGCGAAAAGGTCATTTGGGATGGTTAATTTATTCGTAGAATATACACTTTTATATGTTAAATGAAAAATGTCATCAAGAAGAATACGTCCCAATTGTCAGCGGCAACCTAACAGCGTGACATGAATTAACAGCCTATTGGATTACAGCAACCGCCAGAGACGCAGAACAATTGACTTTTATTTCTCTCTCTCTCTCTCTCTCTCTCTCTCTCTTCGGTGAATAAGAGAATGTATAGGTACAAAAAGAGCACAAAATACAACTAGGTCCTGAAAAATTCAACCCCAATCATATCAGCCACAATATATATATCTCCAGGCACTGAGGGTATATATATCAAAAACAGTGAAATTAACCGACAAAGTGGTCCATTTTCTAGCGTGAAACAATTGACTGAGTGAACACAACTTTTATCTTTTCATTAAACATCCAAATTCTAAAGCCTCAATGTTCAATGTATCATGACTAATCTGTATAGAAAAGGAGTGCTAGCACCACTCTCTACAATACTCTTTTTTTTAATTGAACCGAGTAGCATAATATTCATACGATTGATCATAATTTTGAGCTTTAATTGTGTCAACTTTTACCACTAATAACTCTTGGAGTTAGCTCAAATAATATGTAGGGATGTGTATTATGTTGGAAATGCAAGTTGTGGGTTTTAATCTCTCCATCATCATTTGAGTTATTTAAGTGTAAAGTATTCTAACGGCACATACTCATTAATCAACCTTAAGTGGAGATTTGCCTAGTATTTATTTAGATTGCAAGCTACCATGGACTGGTTATATAAGTCAAAGGTTTGAATACCAATATTATTAAAAAGAAAAGAAAAAACTTTTGATACTAACAACCAATTGCCATAAATCTTAATTTCAAGAAGAGTGAGGGAGAATATTACTAGCAGAAGAGATAATAGTCCTTACCGCTTACAACAAAAAACAGTAAGCTAGACTTCCATCGTGCTATTCTGTCTATGATCCCTCACCTCAGCTTCTTGTTGAATTGGTAGGTTGTGTATTTGTCACCCCTTGTATTTGAGTAAGAGAAAACTCCAGCGAGAATTCTCCGCTCTGAACAATTTTTGATGTGGACCTTTAACTATTGCTATTGAGTGATTACCCCTTCCAATCTAATGATTTTTACATTACATAGAAACATAGAATGATGGAGTTTGATTTTTGAGATTTCAACAACTTTTTATCAAATTAAGTATAAATGAAACCCACGTGTGGAAAGTGTGTGATTTAGATTTGTTTTGGTTTGATTTTTGCTTAAATTCCGCTGGAGTCGGTTTATTGTTTTGCGGTAAAGCAAACATTCCCAATAATAATATAACCTTTTCGGAATTATTCAACTTTTGACTATTTGTTTTTCTTGTTTTTTGGGGCGTTTTGCTTTAGCTTAACCCCCCTTTCTTTTTCTCTGAATTCCTATGCTTCCTTCAACTTTTTATTTTTGTTTAAAAAGTTTGTAGTATCTTATAGCAATCTAATAATTTCAAAAAAGACACATATTATATAATATATTTTGATTTAATATATTATATAATATATTCATAAAAAATTATTATTTTTAATATAAAAAATAAATAAATATAAAAAATGTATTATATCAAGTATATACAAATCATTTTCTTTTAAAAAATTACATCTCTTAATTTTTTTTTTTTTAGCACTTACGTAGCAGCACATACTTTGTCAGGTAAGGACCATGTAAGTGGTGACGTGCATTTTTTATTGTTAAATTGATGGAAATTTTCGATCAATTTTTCATGATATGAGACAAATTTTAAGTAGAGGATCATATATAATAAAAATAAAAAATTGAACTGTAAATTATCTATATAAAAAATTATATTTTTTATAATTATTAATAAAAATATATTTATATCATAAAAATTTTATTTTTATATCAATAATTATAAAAAATATAATGTGCACGGAACAAATTGCATCCTAAGTTCTCTCCCAAAGTGTAATATATCCAAATGAGAACAAAGATGAATAAATGTAAGAGAATGTAATGTTGGTCTTGAAGTTTCGCTTCTCTTCCAGAATGAAGTATCCGACACGGAATATTGGAGAAGAATATTGTCATTTGACACGTTAAGCATTACAAGTAGCCATCTTGACTCTTTCTCTTGGAATATAACGTGGTAGTTAGCAACTTAAGTAGAATTTATATCATTGCAGATATATCTATTACATGTGTTCCCAATATACAAGAAGTTTCAACAATATACAAGATAAGTTAATGCCCTTAATAAACTCGATTGTTCTAGGCTGCGGAAATTAGCTAGAGTGCGTTAAAAAAAAGTTTCTATTTGTGCAAAACACATCACCAAATTAGTATTAGGATTTATTTAATATGTATCTTAAAAATACAGATTAAGTGTATTAAATGTATTATCTATATATATATATATAAAATGCTACTCTATGCATTAAATAGGGTAAGCATTTTATATAGGAATCGCGATCTCACCCACCATCGACGGTTACTTTCCTTCAAAAGCCTGCTAGATACTCGCCTTCCTCCCGCTCGCCAACATCAACCGTCTGATCTACATCTCACCATCTCACATCATGAATCTAGCCCCAATTGCGTCTTTTCACATTTTGTGGCATTTCCTTATTTATACAGTTGCCTCTCTCTTTTTCGTAACGGATACACTTCATTATATACATAACGGATACATTTTTTTACATATAATTAATTAACAGTAAAGATGAACATCATAACGGATATACTTTCGTTATATATATACTAAGCCTCTTGGAAATCTTAAATTATCTCCTCCATCATCCACACCTACTACTAAGCCTCTTGGAAATCTTAAATTATCTCCTCCATCATCCA